TTGTGGATAATCTTTCAGAAGAGGCAGAAGGATAGCAATTAAGGTCCCTGGGCCAGTAAAAATGTTGGCTTATTCAGGGAACATGAATATGGCCAGTGTAGCTTGGGCCAAATGAGCAAGAAGAAAATGGTAGTTAATGGGGTCAGAGAGGGTGCAGGTTCAGAATAGGGAAGGCCTTGAGTGTAGGTCATTGTAAAGGAATTTGGATTGTGTTCTGCTGTCTTACACGTACATATGAGGTCAAAGATCCTTTTCTGTTTTAAGATCTATGACCTTTTCAAAAAAATGTCATTTTAAGCCATTCCAGTCAGTAATGTGTTTTAGCGTTCTGTACAAGACTTAATGTGCACCTCTAGATACTCTTCAGGGGCAGAGCAATTTAATCATGATGATTAAAAGTCCTGGCGGGGCTGTCACCTGCTGTCTCATTTCCCTTCCTTAAACTGTCAAAGCAGTGACAGGCGTGCTTGCCAATATGAGGTATGTGTTTGAAGAATGTTAATAAATCCCTACAAAGAATCCTGTTTTGTGTTTTCTGGCACAATTGATGATAATTTTCATCCTGTAACCCTCTGTTACAGACTGAATTGTATACCCCACATATATGAGTTATAAATCCTAACTTCCATGCCTGTGGTTATATCCCATTTGGGAATGCATTGTTGTGGTATTTAAGTTGTGTGTCAACTTGGCTGGGCCTGGTTGAGTGGCTGGGCAGCTCGATGTAGTATTCTACATGATGAGACTGGTAATGAACTCCATGGTGGAATCTGCTGGATTAGCTAAGTAGCTGCCTACGGGATGTGGTCTGCTTCCTGTATGTAAGAAGCATTGAGAAAGGTCTTTGCAGCTTTTTGGCCTGCTTGGACCCTGCATGTAGCTGCATCTTCATTCAGCAGCCTGCCATGTTGTCTGCCAATCTTAGGATTGTTCCTGGACTTGAACCAGTGGCCTGCAGTGTTGTTTGATATCTTTGGGACGATGCCATTTTATTTGTCCTTGGCAGCCAGCCTCTGTCTGAGGTAAAAGAAGTCTCCAGCTTCAGTGGGCCGGGAGTAAGGCAGAACTGAAGCCCAAGGTCGAGGGGCCTTCACCCAGCCCCTAGTGCCACCACTTTGTATTTCTAGCCTCCTAAATTGTAAGAGAATAAACTCCTGTTTGTTTAAGCCATACACTTGTGGTATTTCCTGTTAGAGTGGTGCAAGAGAACCATAACAATTGTCTTTGGAAACAAGCAAAAGAACAGGCAGAGATGGGGGAAGAGAGATGCCAAGCCCCATGAAGAGCACCCAGGAAGAGAAACTCAAGAGACCAGAACCTGCCTCCAGAGATGACAGAGAAAGGCTTCTGCTAGAGCTGGCCCCCTGAGTTCAGACATCTAGCCTCCGAAACTGTGAGAAAATAAATTTATTTGTGAAAGCCATCTGCTTATAGTTTTTCTGTTATAGCAACACTAGAGAACTAAAACAGAATTTGATACTGTGAATGCAGTGCTGCTCTAACAGTTGCCTAAAATGTGGAAGCAGTTTTAGAATTGGTAATGGGTAGAGGCTGGAAGAGTTTTCAGATGCCTAATAGTAAAAGCCTAGATTGCTTTGAAGTGACTGTTGGCCGATTTATGGATTCAAAGGAAATTCTGGTGAAGGCCCAGATGGAAGTAAGGGGAGCTATAGAGAAAGTCTCTATCATCTTAGAGAATGCATATGGTGCCAACAGCAGAATGTTGCTAGGAATGTAGACATGAAATGTGCTTCTTCTGCTCAGGCTTTGGAAGAAAATGAAAAAACTGATAGGACAGTGGCAAAGGGTGATGTTTTATATGCAGTGGCAAGGAACTTGTCTGAGTTATGTTCAAATGTTTGGTGGAAGGTGGAACTTGTAAGTTATGTACTTGAGTATCTGGCTGATGAGATTTCTAACCAAGATCTTAGAGGGGCTGCATGATTTCTCCTTATTGCTCATAGTAAAATGCAAGAGGAAAGAGATGGACTTAAAAACGAACTGTGCAAAATGAAAACTATTTTAAAATGTGGAAAATTCTCTTCTTACATACTAAGGACATGTGTCCTAGAATGTTCACAGGGACATGGCTACACAGTCTTTTGTTAAAGAGATTTAGCCTATGACTGATGGATCTAACTACCACAGCAGAAAACCTTTCAGTTTAAGCAGAAGGAGACAGAAAGCACGAAAGAAGAGAATGTTGTCTGCCTCTTGGAATTCTATAGGCAGGAAACAGGCCAAAGGAGCTACATCTGTTGCCCAAGAAAAGAAAAGTATCCCCTGAGCAGCTCAGAAATCAGCAGAACTGTTGGAAGCAGAGCTGTCTGGTTCCCAAAGGGTAGGGCCATAGCCTCTGGGGTCTGAAAGGGTAGAACCATGGCCTTCTAGGTTTCAGAGAGATCTTCATCAACTTGGTTCAGAAGTGTGGGACTGCCGTGCTGAAGGAGCAGAAGAATGGAGCCTGCCGGAGCCTAAGGCATGAGGTCGCCATTCAGATGGACTAGGAGAATGGGACCACCCAAAGCCAAAGGAGCAGAGGTGTTGCCCCAGTGGGCCTGGAAGGCAGAGCTGAAGCCCAGGGCTAAGGGGCCTCCACTCAGAATCCAGAGGGCATAGCCAGTGCCCAGAGTCAGGAAGGCAGGGCCATCAGGTAGATGGTCTCAGAGAACATAGAATTATTTTCAAAGCTTGAAGGCTAATGTAAATTGTTCTGCTGGATTTTGGACTTGCTTAAGCAGGTGCCCCTTATCCCTTCTTTCTCTTCAATTTCTCCCATTTGTAGTGGAAATGCCAACTTTATGCCTATTCCACCATTGTACCTTGGGAATAGATAAGATCATATAGTCTAGATTTCACAGGTTCATAGATGAAGAGGACTTTTGCCTCAGGATGAAATATGCCTCAAATCTCACCCATATTTGATTTAGAGTATTCAGAAGATGAGATTTGGGACTTGGACCTGATTTTAGACTTTGGGATAATGTGATGAAGTAAATGTGTTTTCCATGTGGTAAGGACATTAATTTGGGGAGGCCAAAGAGTGGAATGTTACAGGTTGAATTGTGCCCCTCTAAAATATGTGTCCTAAATCCCAACCTCCATGCCTGTAATTAGGAATGGGTTGTCTTTGTTATGTTAATGAGACAGGATTAGCAGAGGGTGGGGGAAGAGAGATGCCACAGCCACAGGAAGATCACCCAGGAGCTGAAGCTCAGGAGAGCCCAGGACCTTCCTCCAGAATTGTGACATGGAGAAAGCCTTCCCCTAGAGCTAATGATCTGAATTGGGACTTCAAGCCTCCTAAACTGTGAGAAAATAAATCTGTTTGTTAAAGCCATCTGCTTGTGGTATTTCTCTTATAGCAGAACTAGATAACGAAGACACCCTCTTTTAAAATTGGCTCAAATATTTCTTACACTCCCCTAAGAGAGTGTGACAACTTGGGGTAGTAATAAAGGGTTTGACAACGGTATGAGTTATAGGAACCATACTCCCTTTTGTTAATAGAGGCATAATTGTAGCCAACTTCTACTATTTTTCATTAGCAAACACTGATACTTGTTTCTAGAGAATTTCTCTGCTAGAGAAAAAAGTATGAAAATGACCATGTATCATGAATAATACATTGAAGAGTACTCTCTGTAATAGCTCAAAAGTGCACTATAGCCAAAATTAAAACTATATGGATATACTGGAAATTTCATCAATTACTGTGTTTGTCACAATTTCTTTTTTGCAATAACGTTTCAAATGTGTTCCAGAGGGAAGTGAATTATAAATAAATAGGAAAAAAGTTATCCTGTCTTCATTTATTTTATTTGTCCATATCCATTGCAAGAGAAAAATGACTTTAAAAATACAGTTCTGTTCCAGAAATGGATTCTTCTCTGCATAACCACTGAAGAAGAAAACTCATGCAAACTGAAACTATGGCCTTTTGTGGTGACTGAGTGGAATATGCAGTAAGTCTGTTATTATAATCTCTGATTTGGCAACTGATAGCACAAAAGAAAACCCAACTTCACTGGCTTGATGCAAGAAAACACAATTTTACATATGAGTATGATAAAGTTCACAATAATTTGGAAGGGTTCATATGAAAAAAATACAGCACTGAAATAAACTAAAGACCGATTACTGACATGCTCCTCTCACATCAGGGTTGTTATTACTATCATATTTTTCAATGATAAGTAAAAGCTATAAAATAAGATGATCATTTAAAATTGAAATTATAAGTTGAAATTTGTCAAATAAATTCAAATCATCTCATGCTTTCAAATTATTTTTTGGCCATTTATACAAGTATAATTGCTGAAATGCACCACCATATGTAGAAGATAACTAGGTTATACAATTTATCCCATTTGTTCTCTTAGCCAATATAACAATTAGTCCAAGTAGCTCATTTTCCAAAAATGAACGGGGAAAGACTATAGATGACTAGTCTGTTTTTTGCTGTCTTGTAAAAGCTATACGGTTTCACATTTTTTTCCTATCAAAATTTTCTTGATACACTAATATAAAGTGTATTCAACCCAGTGTCTCTGGCTCTGAGCCACTCACTGGTGGATGAGAGTTGAGGAGAGATAGCCCCTGGAGGAAAATACTCAGGCCTACCTGCCCCAGATTGCCCGTCTCTCTACTCGCATTAAGAGAACAGTAAATAAATGGGAAGGAAAGAAGACGGAGTTAGGTATGCTGTGTTTGATGAATGTAGAATCAGATGATTAGACTCCAAGTCCCCAGGGCACAACTGGCACAGACTGGCACTTAATGCTGTTCACATGCTACTTGGCTCTGAGAGCCAACTACATGATAGAAAAGTGAGTGTGCTGTGAGTGCAGACAGCTGTCTTGAATTAAGAAGAAAAAATTGCTGATACCGAATAAACCATGCATGATTTCCAGATAACCTCTCAGGTCAAGCCAGGAAGCAGACAGCGATATTAGGACTTGAGAGGACACAAAAGGTTTAAGTTGAAACATATTGCGTTAAAGGGATGAACCTTTAATATTTTTCTCCGTTTCCAGTCTCCTTAACATATACGCATTTTTGCCTTCAGAAAATAGAGTCAATTGCTTTGCAGACTTGAAGAAAAACTTCCTCTGGTGTTCCCTCTGCATTTATCTATATTTAAAAGGGGGAAAAAAAGAAAGTTAGTCTTGAGATGTTTTTAAGATCATCATTAACAAAGTAAAATGGGAGGAAAATGGGGCAATCTACTTCCATAGTGACACTGCCTTGGAAACCCAAGGAAGGGTCTCTATGAGTCGGGGCCCACTCAACGGCACATAACAACAACAAAAAAAAAAGTAAAAAAGATTAGCTGCTTATCATTTGCTCTGCACAATTTTAAAGCAAGACCCTAAAAATCCATGGAGAAAAATATGAAAAGTAGTTGTTTAAGAATTAGGTTCCTTGTTGAGGTAAAGTATTGTTAGGGGTCATGGGAAAACTGCAGATTTACTTTAAATGAGACTTCTGAGTGTTCTGGAGCATTTGGAGCAGGGCTGAGAAGAGGGTGGGCACTGGAGAGAGGAAAGCAAAAGTTTCTGGGTTCTCAACTTGCTGGTGTGCTAAGGGATGGAGTTTGCTTGGAGATTTAACTGTTGATACATTAAGGTAAGTAGCTAACAACAGAGGAACTAGGAAAGAGCTGATTTCTGGGGTTGAAGGAACTACTACCCCTTTCTCTCAAAACTTCCTAACAATGCGCTGATCACAGAGGAGCACTGTGGTAAAAGTGTTGGGCTATACAAAAGGTTGGCAGTTTGAACCCACCATCCGCTCTGTGGGAAAAGGATGAGACAGTCTGTTTCTGAAAGATTGAGAACCTGGGAAACCTTACGGGGTCGCTGAGTCAGAATCATCTCGACGACAGTGGGTTTGGTTGCTTTTTTGGCGCTGAGCACTCAACTGTGTTCCACCACATGTGTAGCATCTACAGACCGTGGAGGCCTGGTGGTCCCCATAAGGCCTTGTGGGGGATAGAGGAGCTTATTGAAATGCACCTTTTCAGAACTCATCTCCAGAAGTTTTCATTTAGTAGGTTTTGACTTGGCCTGGAAATCTGCATACTTCACAAAGTCTCCAGGTGATTTTGATGCAGAATAACATTTTGAGAAACCCTGGATAATTTTGTCAACTCTTGTCTACCTACCTTAATTTCCTTTGTAAAAACTACTTTGACTTCAAAAATCCCTAGGCTGGCTCTTGACTGATTGCAGAAGTAGAATGGAATTCTCAAACATGAAAGAATCATATACATATAAGTGCCCCATTAGATAAATACAATCAATGTTCATTGAGACATTGTGGTAGCTCCAAACTGGGAAAATACTAAATGTCCATTAGCAGTGGAGCCATAAGTAAATTGTGGCATAGTCATTGTTATGGATTGAACTGTGTCCCCCCAAAATATGTACTGTGAATTCTAACTCTAAATTGTGGTATTAATCCCATTTGGTTAATAACGCAGTATTCGTGTAGGGTGAGTTTTAAATCCCTCTCTGTAGAGAGATAAAACAGATCAAGCAAGCTAGCAAACACAAACAGGGAGGGGAAAATAAATGCCACATAATTGCCAAGGACCTTCCCTCAGACTGAATAGAAAGATAGCCTTGCCCTAGAGCTGGTGCCCTGAGTCAGGACTTCAGGCTTCCCAAAGTGTGAGAAAATACATTTTAGTTTGTTAAAGCCACGCATTTGTGGGTTTTGTTACAGCAGCACAAGATAACTGGGACAGTCATGTAATGGAATACTATGCTGTTGTGTGCCATCAAGTCAACCCTGACTCATAGTGACCTCTCCTTGAGTTGCTGAGGAGTATCACTACGGAAGTAGATTGCCCAACCTTCCTTCCGGGGAGTGGCTGGTGGGTTTGAACCTCCAGCCTTCTGGTTAGCAGTCAAGTGCCTTAGGCACTATGCTACCAGAGCTCCTAATGGGATACTATAGTAATGGGGAGAAAAACAAAAGAACAATGAAAATTACATCCAACAGCATGGATTAACCTCACAAAGTTAAGAGAAAGAAACAAGTCTGAGAAAAATATGCATATAGTATGATTCCAAGGAGCTCTGGTGGCATAGTGCCTAAGGCATTTGACTGCTAACCAGAAGGGTGGTGGTTCAAACCCACCAGCCACTCCTCGGAGGGAAGATCAGGCAATCTATTTCTGTAGTGATACTGCCTCGGAAACCCAAGGAAGGGTCGCTATGAGTCAGATCTGACTCAACGGCAGTGAGTTTGGTTTGGTTTTGGAGTATGATTCCATTAATACTAAGTTCAAAACCCAGCAAACACAAACTATATTGGTTATACCCAGCAAACACAAACTATATTGGACCCATATACAGGACATAAAACCATTAAAAAATGTGAAGAAATGATTATTACTAATGTTGTTACTTCTTAGGAATAGGATGGAAGATGTGATGGGGAGAGACACATGGGGAAGCTTCTGTGATTCTGTTTTGTTTCTGGGTGGTGGTTCCATAGGTTTTCATTTGATAATTCTTCAAACTATACATATTTAGCTTTGTGTATTCCTGTATGTATGATATATCTCACAATAAGGAATATTTGTGTCTTATAAATGTGTCATGCTTTATCCTAATACTCAAGAAAAACAAACTCACTGCCATCGGGTCAAATCCAACTCATGGCTACCCCTCCTTGGGTTTTCGAGGCAATATCTCTCAGAAGTAGATTGCCCAATCTTCCATCCAAGGAGTGGCTGGTGGGTTTGAACTGCCAGCCTTCTGATCAGTGAAATGCTTTAGGCACTATGCTACTAGAGCTCCTTTTGTGTTGTTATGTGCCGTCCAGTCAAACCCGACTCATAGCGACCCCTCCTTGGGTTTCCGAGGCAGTATCACTACGGAAGTAGGATTGCCCAACTTTCCTTCTGAGGAGTGGCTGGTGGGTTTGAACCGCCATCAAAAAGAACTCCTTTTAGCATAGTCAAATACAGCAATCTGCAAACTTGTTTCTCTTGCTTGAGGCTCTACAGAGCACAAGGACGTTGCCTTTGTTATGCTTTTGTCCATCACAGAACCTTGTCTATTTCTGTATGCCTCCTTTTATTCAACAAACATTCCCTGAGTGCCAACCATGTGTTAGGTGAAATCCTACATTGAACAAATGTATGCAGTGGCCCTGCTCTCAAGGAGCTTACAGCTCAATGGCAGAGACAAGCAACAAGAATTTACACTGTTATGATAAGGTAAGTATGGGATGCTATGAGTAAAGAGGCACAGTCTTGGGAGGGAAAGGAAGCTTCCTGAGGGAAGTAGTCATCATTTAAAATGATAAACATTACTGCCAGTGAAGAACTTAGTATATGCCAGGCAATGTGCTAAGTATTTTTTAAACAATCAGGTAATCCTAACAACAATCTTAGGTATTGTTACCGTCATTTCAAAGATAAGGACACTGAGGCTTTGAAAGATTAATTAATTTTCCTGGAATGTTGTACAGATAAGTTATATGGCAGAGATTAGTTCAAACCCAAGTATGTGACTGAAATATTTGTGTATGTTGACTACATTACACTACCTGAATTAGTTCAAAGTGGCAGCAAGGCTGATTTTGAAGAGGGCAATAGCAAGGAGTGAAGCTGGGATGGTAAGGAAAAGTTGGGCTATGAAGAAGCTTAAGTACCTTATTGTTGTTGTTTGCCGTAGAGTCGGACCCGACTCATAGCGACCCCTCCTTGGGTTTCTGAGGCAATATCACTACGGAAGTAGGATTGCCCAACCTTCCTTCCGAGGAGTGGCTGGTGGGTTTGAACCGCCAGCCTTCTGGTGAGCAGTCAAGTGCCTTAGGCACTATGCTATATTACATGACAATAAAAGGGAGTCATGTAGGAGTTCCAGTAAGATGGTGGAATAGGCAGAAAGACTGCATAGATCTTTAGCAAAGAAAAGGGAAACCAGTGAACACAAGTACAGAAGATAATCCTGGACCCCTGAGCTTTGAAGGGAAGGATATAGCAGTGAACTAAATTCCAACTAGCAGAAGAATATGCATGAAAACACCAAAAAAGGAGACATACAGAGCTGCGGACTGGCAGCAGTCCTGACAGCACAGATAGCTTGGATATTGCCGAATGGTGGTAAGACTTAGGAATTAACCTAAAAATCAGCCCTGCTAGTTGAGGACTGCATAGAGGACTGCTCTGGTGGCTGGGGAATAAAAGGGGAGGCAGCAAAGAGGATGGTGGGCTGAGCTGTGGACTTTGCCCTGTCTGGAGGGTGCAGCCATTTTGAATGCTTACAAGCGGTTTGACCATTTTGAATATTTAAAGCAACAGTGTTCTCCCAGATTCCAGAGACTTAAGAACAGGCTCCACTTGCCAAGAACCACAAGGACATTCCAGACGTGGAAAACTGGAAAGGTACGATATTCCACTTGTTATTCTTATATCCCACACCCTCTTGGTGAACCGAGGGGCAGCCATCCCTCACTCCCACGCCCCTTCTAGGCTGGCAAGAATTCCATCCCAGTCTGTGTGCTCCGAAGAAGCCTGGGTGCCCTGCTCTGCCCTGCCCTGATTTTTTTTTTCTTATTTCTTTTTTTTAGTTTGTTTATTTTTGTCTGTTTTAAAACTACTATTATTGTTATCACTTTTGTCCTTTTTATTATTATTCTTTATTCTTCCCTTCTTAGGTCTAGTTTTTAGCTTTTCTTCTTTTCCCTGTTCTTGGTTGCAATTTTTTTTTTCTTTCTCATGGTTAATCCCATTCCTTGTTTTCCTTTTTGTGGGTTTTTTTTTTTTTTCCATTTTTTTCTTCATTATTCTCCTTCTTTACCTTTTTTCTCTTATTGCCCTCTCTCCAGATACTGCAGGTTTTTTTTTTTTTTTTGGTTACTGTTCCTGTGTGATTACATGGTGTGTTTTTTCTCCATTTGCTTTTTTTTTTTTTTTCCTGATGGTTATTCAATTGTAACTTTTGTCTAACTGAGTGGGAGACAGCAACAGTCCCCATATGACACAAGTACACCTACACCTCCTGCAGCTTCACTTACTGAATGAGGCAAATAGATGAATCCACAGTCATAATAGGAGACTTTAATACACCACTTTCAATGAAAGATAGAACAACTTTCAATGAAAGGTAGAA